CGACCACGACCCCGTCTTTGAGCAGGGCGAGTACCGCGAGACCATCCGGGAGAACGTGGAGGAGGGGTACCCCATCCTTCAGCTGCGGGCCACCGACGTCGACTCGCCGCCCAACGCCAACATCCGCTACCGCTTCGTCAACGAGCGGGCTGCCCACGCCGTCTTCGAGATCGACCCCCGCTCCGGCCTCATCACCACCAGCGGGCCGGTGGACAGGGAGAAGATGGAGAGGTACTCCTTGGTGGTGGAGGCCAACGACCAGGGAAGGGAGCCGGGGCCCCGCTCTGCCATGGTCAAGGTCTACATCACGGTCCTTGACGAGAACGACAACACCCCTCAGTTCAGCGAGAAGCGCTACATCGTCCAGGTGAGGGAGGACATACGGCCCCACACCGAGATCCTGCGCGTGACCGCCACGGACCTGGACAAGGACAACAATGCGCTGGTCCACTACAACATCATCAGTGGGAACAGCCGGGGCCAGTTCTCCATAGACAGTGTCACTGGGGAGATACAGGTGGTGGCCCCGCTGGATTTTGAGGTGGAGCGAGAGTATGCCCTGAGGATCCGGGCTCAGGATGCGGGGCGCCCTCCCCTCTCAAACAACACTGGCATGGCCAGCATCCAGGTGGTGGATATCAATGACCATGCCCCCATCTTTGTCAGTACCCCTTTCCAAATCTCAGTCCTGGAGAACGCTCCCCTCGGCCACTCTGTCATCCACATCCAGGCCGTGGACGCGGACTACGGCGAGAACTCGCGCCTGGAGTACAAACTGACTGGGGTCTCAGCTGACACACCCTTTGTGGTAAACAGTGCCACGGGGTGGATCACGGTCAGCGGGCCCTTGGACCGGGAGTCAGTTGAGCACTATTTTTTTGGGGTAGAGGCTCGGGACCATGGCTCTCCGTCTTTATCTGCCTCTGCCAGTGTCACCATTACTGTGATGGATGTCAATGACAACCGCCCCGAGTTCACCCAGAAGGAGTATTTCATCCGCCTGAATGAGGATGCAGCTGTGGGGACCAGCGTCCTCAGCGTCACAGCAGTCGACCGGGATGTGAACAGTGCCATCACCTACCAGATCACGGGAGGCAACACGCGGAACCGCTTCTCCATCAGCACGCAAGGCGGGACGGGGCTCATCACTCTGTCTCTACCGCTGGACTACAAGCAGGAGAGGCGCTACGTGCTCACCGTGACGGCCTCTGATCGCACTCTGCGTGACAATTGCCACGTTCACATCAACATCACCGATGCCAACACACACCGGCCCGTGTTCCAGAGTGCCCACTACTCTGTAAGTATCAACGAGGACCGGCCTGTAGGCAGCACCGTGGTGGTGATCAGCGCCACAGATGATGATATGGGGGAAAACGCCCGCATCACGTACTACCTAGAAGACAACGTCCCTCAGTTTCGCATCGATCCAGACTCCGGGGCCATCACTCTACAGGCAGAACTGGACTATGAAGACCAGGTCACGTATACATTGGCTATTACTGCTAAGGACAATGGGATCCCACAGAAAGCAGACACCACGTATGTTGAAATTATGGTGAATGATGTTAATGACAACGCCCCCCAGTTCGTCAGCCCTCATTACCAGGGCATGATCTCTGAGGATGCACCTCCCTTCACCAGTGTGCTCCAGATCTCTGCCACTGACCGGGATGCCCACACCAACGGGCGTGTGCAGTACACGTTCCAGAATGGGGAGGATGGAGATGGAGACTTCACCATAGAGCCCACCTCGGGGATCATTCGCACTGTCCGCAGGCTGGATCGGGAGAACGTTCCTGTCTACGAGCTGACTGCCTACGCCGTGGACAGGGGCATCCCTCCTCAGCGAACTCCTGTCCATATTCAGGTTACCATCCAGGATGTGAATGACAATGCTCCTGTCTTTCCCGCTGAAGAGTTTGAGGTTTTGGTAAAGGAGAACAGCATAGTAGGCTCTGTCGTGGCCCAAATCACGGCTGTTGACCCAGATGAGGGACCCAATGCTCAGATCATGTATCAAATTGTGGAAGGCAACATCCCAGAGATATTCCAGATGGACATTTTCTCTGGGGAGCTCACAGCCTTGATAGACCTGGATTACGAGACAAAACCTGAGTATGTGATTGTAGTGCAGGCCACCTCTGCCCCTCTGGTCAGCAGAGCCATGGTCCACATCAGGCTCATTGACCAGAATGACAACAGCCCCGTTCTCAAGAACTTCCAGATCCTGTTCAATAACTACGTGTCCAATAAATCCAACACCTTCCCCTCAGGGGTCATAGGGAAGGTCCCAGCTTATGACCCAGATGTGTCTGACCGCCTCTTCTACAACTTTGAGCGGGGAAACGAACTGCACTTGTTGATTGTAAATCAATCGAGCGGGGAGTTGAGGCTGAGCCGTAAACTGGACAACAACCGTCCGCTCGTGGCCTCCATGCTGGTGACTGTTACAGGTAGGGTGTGAAAATCATTAAACCTTCAGTGCAGTACCTTTGGGGGGGCTCTGCATGGTCCCTGTCGGGGAGCCCGATCAGCATCAAGGAGGGTGGGTTGGGGACTGGCAACAGGATGTGGATTAGGAGTCCCATCCAACCAGGGAACGACACTGGAGGGGCTGGGGAGCGGGGTGTGCTGTGGGGGAGCGCTCTGTCAGCGGGCCGAGGCCAGGGGTGGGCTGCAAGAACAAAGCATCGTTACTCGGCTGCGAGGGTCGCTTGTAGCTGCGAGTGAGGCACCTTTGGAGGTGCCATCACCAGCAAGGCTGCGATGTGTGCTGTAGGGTGCTGGCCAGGCAAGCAGTCGGTTCCCAGGGTGGCCAGGCTGCTGGCCCAGGGGCTGGCACGCCTCCTCGCTCCCAAGTCCAGGTGGCTCTTCTGCCAAGACCAAGCACTACCCTGGCTGTGCCTGCAAGGGTGGGATTGAATTCGATGTGCAGGGACCCCTCTTACAAATCCCTGTCTGCTGGTAGCAAATGGTTCCATCCAGACTCCGGCTGTGGCAGGGGTCCCATCCAGCCTCCGGCTGTGGCAGCTGCCGACACCTGCGCTTTGTGCTGTGGCTTCTAAAACCTGGTGCCACCTTCCTGCAGCCAACTTAGCGTTGCAGGGGACAGCTGTGACAAACCTCAGAGCGCGGCGCTTAAAATTCTCACATCGTATGTGTTGCTGGAGTATCCAAATGTAGCTGCTGGGGTGGCTCTGGGGAGTGTTGGGGTCCCCTCTGGCTGAGATGAAGGTAGGGCAAAGGTGGATGTTGAAGCTTGTCTGTGAGGAAGTCGGGTTTGGACCTGGAGCTCCCTCCTGCCTGAGCTTTGCCTTCACCATCAGCCTTTCTTTGCTTCCGGATGCGTGATCTGAAATGGAGGCATCCGTCCATTGCTGAACCAAGGAACGGCTCTGGGGGAGGGAGGGCAGGAGCCCTCTTTGGAGGGGCCAAGCACCAAACTACTGAGGGTGCTTGGGGAGCTGTTCAGTAAATCGTGTTGCTCCCCTGGCCCTTGGCTACCAGCTACTCTCCCTTTCTACCTCTCTCTGTCTGACTTATTCAGCAAGAGGAAGATTTATTTCAAAAGAGGGAGCGAGGGCTTTCAGAGGAGGCCTGTTCAGGGCAATCCTGCGTGGCCAGCACCAGCCTGTCGTGGACTGGGGCTCTTTGGGGGTTAATTGTGACCACAGGGCTGGCTGAGAGCGGGTGCAGGTGCATGCATGCCGGTGGCTGGAGATGGGGGGGTGGTATTGACCTTTCCAGCTTCTGCCCGAGCGTGTTTATGCAAGCCCTGCCTCCTTGCACACTTAACCCTGCACAAAGACAGAAGACAATCACGTCCCGAAGTCCTGCGTTGAGCTGCCTCCCGGCGAGGGGGCCCTTGCCATTAGAGTGTCGTCATCTTCCAGCAGGAAGGGAGACGGGGAGGAGGGAAGGGGAGGGGGTGGTATTGACCTTTCCAGCTTCTGCCCGAGCGTGTTTATGCAAGCCCTGCCTCCTTGCACACTTAACCCTGCACAAAGACAGAAGACAATCACGTCCCGAAGTCCTGCGTTGAGCTGCCTCCCGGCGAGGGGGCCCTTGCCATTAGAGTGTCGTCATCTTCCAGCAGGAAGGGAGACGGGGAGGAGGGAAGGGGACGAGCCCAGCCGGGGAGGGAAGCGAGACACTGGAAAATGGGCCTTTTGTTGGCTTTGATATTGGCTGTGGAGGTGGAGGGCTGGTTCGGTTTTTCCATCTTCATTGTTGGAAGCCCCCCGCCCAGCTGGCAGCCCCGGCCCCACGCTGTTGCTGTGTGCAGGGGGAGGGCAGGCGGGTGGGTTTGCAGAGCCGGCGGCCAGGACCTTCAGACCTGGCTGCATTGTTTGCCCAGGTGCAGCGTGGTGCCAGAGCAGCTTCCTCCTGATGGAAGGCAACAATAGCACCTACGTGGGTGGCGCGAGGGTCAGCGTCTGAGGAGGGAGCGGCTTCCCTGCCTGCATGTGAGCTTTAATGCTCCTTAGAGGGGGGCTGGATCCGCTCTATGACCAGGCAAGGGGCCCTTTGCCTGGCTGCGAGCTGTGTGTGTTCTCAGTTCACCCCCTTGAAGGAGGTGGGGAAGACTTGGGCTGTCACAGACCAGTGCCTTTCCAGGATGACTGGCAGCCTCAAAACTGACCCCAGCTGATCCCAGATGTGATCATACCTATAAACTAAGGCTGCTATAAACTGCTCTTGCCTGCTGAGGATACAGGACAGTGACGTGGAGGGGCTGTGTCCATGGCCAGCAGCACAGTGTGATAGGGAGCATGTTAGGAGACTGACATCATGTCGACTTTAAACCATTGTGGACTGCTTTCACTAGGCCAGGCTGCTGGGCTGGTGGCAAGGGTGGAAGCTCAGCCACACTTGGCTGTGGTTGCTGTGTTGGCCCTGTTCCCCTTGAGCTCTTTGTACACAGCTCCCCTCAGCCTGCACCCCAGGAGCTTGTTCTAGTGAGGGCACCCATTTTTCCAAGGTATCTCACCTAAACCTGGGAAGACCCTCCTGGGGCACTTTTTTCCTTACTCCAATGTCTGAACACATCCACGCTGTCTTTTCAAGCTGGGGGAGGGTCCCAGGGCTGTCCTGGCCTTTCACAACTTGCAACAATGTCTTATCTCTCAAGGAGCCCACTTTGAAGAGCTTCCTCTGCTGTTTGGGCCATCACAGCTGGAGGTGGTGACCATGAAATAGGAGTGGGAGACTTAAGGATTCCTGTGTCTGCTCAGTGTTGCAGCCAGAGTGGTGGCTTTTGCTCTCAGACACTGGCTCTACCACTCAGAAGAGGACAGCTGGTGATGTACTGGGACCTATTTCCAAGCTCCTGGTCCCCCCAAGTGAGGGACAGGGGTGCATCCCCTCCTGGGTCAGAGGCTGTTTGAGGTCAGCTGCCTTCTTCCTGATCCCTGGAGCTCACTGGGAGCCTGAAAGCTGAAATGTTTGCAGTAGAAGGGGAAGTTCTGCCAGTGACTCTGAGGCTCTTGGGGTGGGAGTGTTGGCTGGAGCCCATGCCTTGTGCTGCACGGTGGGTTGGGCTGCTCCCCAGGGATCTGGAGAGCCTCAGGCAGCACGGGCGCACAGGGTTCCTCTGGCAGACCCAGGAGACCATTGGGCAGCAGTCAGCAGCCCAGCTCCCCCCAAGAGGTTTCCAGCACAGGCCTGGAGCTCCATTCCCAGTCTGACACTGCAACCCCCCAGGCGGAGGCTGCTGCCTATCCCACTCTGTGGCTGGAGTTCTTCCTTCTGTGGCTTTACTGCTTTTGAAGCTGGTAATTGTCAGTCTTGGAAGTGCAAACTCGATGACCTGGCGCTGCCCAGCATGGGGTTAGAGTCCCTCATGCCCCTTTTCCCCCATCCTTTCCCTGTAGGCAAGTTTCCAGGGCTCCTCGATCTGCTGCATGAATATTCACCAGGCACCAGCTCTCCAACCCCTGGATTTAATCAGAAAGGCTGAGCATACGTGATTAAAATGCCTCCCAGGGGGGTCAGTGCCTCCAGCCAGCTTTGGGCTTTCTTTCAGCCGCTCTTTTTTTTCTCACCCATTTGCAGCAGGTCATTCTCTTGACCATCTGCTTCCCCTTGTGGGGGGAGGCAGCCCTGGGTGTGATGTTGTGGTGGGACAGCATGTTCCGAGGGAGCTCGCAGAGGAGAGCAGCAGGGCCAGGCTGGCTCCATGTTGCTGCGAGGAACCAGGGCAGGGGCACTTGGGCAATCCTGCGGACTGGGCAACGCCAAGGGCGTCGGGCACCCTGCAGCCCACCTTCTTCCCTGGCCACAGCTGCCTCGCTCCTGGGAGGCGTTGCTGGTCTCTGGCCCACCCCAGGACTCAGCATCACATCAGCCAAGGCCTAATAACAGCCATAAATCAGGCAGATGTCTGCCTGGCTACTGCCGGGCACCGAGCAGCCCCTGGGGAGAGTGAGAGCCTTCCCTGCGCCTGGCGGCTGCTTCCGGGTGAACCAAGAGCCGGAGAGAGGAGAGCGGGAGGCAGCTGGGATGGAACTGGGCTCACGCTCACCTTGGCCAGAGAGGCAGACTGCAAGGGGACACGGAGGGAGAGGAGAGGGAGCAGGCACACCCACAGCACAGCTTCCCACCAAGAAAGGAGCTGGTGTCAAGGTGGTGGCATCCAGGTGGTTCCTCACGGAGGGATGCCAGGCTGCTGGGGGCTTGGGGAGCATCTTATGCCAAGTGTGGCTGAGCCAGGCTTGTAGGTTTTCCCCTCACTTCTGCCTCTCCAGGGCTGAGTAATCTTGAAACCCATGAGCCTCTTGCAGAGAAAAAGTGCCTCAAGGAGACACAGGTAACGATGCCAATTCCTTGCACTGAGCCCAGTCCCTGTCATGTCCAGCCAGGTGCTGGATGGACCTTTTTGGTAGCCTCTGTTCATGCTGCCCTCCGTGTCAGAGCTGGCACGGTGTCATGCAGAGGGGTGGTTTCTCACCTTGCTTCCATATGGGGCGGGAGCAGTTTGATTTCAGGGAGAAGCAACCCCTGTTTCCTCTGGAGATTAGCTCCTGAGTGGGTGTTCTGGCACCACTGCTCCCCCAGCCCAGCACGAGCCTTATCTCCAGAGCACCAGCCCCAGCGCCCAGGCTGGCGCTTGCGCTGGAATTTGCAGGGTCGCCAGAAATCTTTCACCTTCTGAAGAGTAGAAGAGAGAGAGAGAGGGAAAAGGGAGATGTTTCAATCTTTAAATCCTCCTTCGCTGCAGACTTCAAACAGGGCTGAGGGAAATCAAAAGGCTTTGCAGCGCAGCAGCCGCGGGAAGGCAGGAACAGTAAAGGCAGCTGTGCACGTGAGGCTGGGAGCTGGGACGTGGGTGGGGGACGAGGGGTGGCGTTTATACCCCTGGTCCTTGCCGGGGCTGGGGCTGGCCAGAGTGCTGGGACGCCTGCTGCCTTTTGTGCTACCATGCGCCGGGTTGCAGGAGATGAAGTAGTGCCGGGCCGGGTCTGGCCAGGTTTCACAGGGCCTCGGCACGGGCTGGCCAGGGCTGCCCGGTGGCAATGGTCTGGTCTGCTCATCTGCCCGGTAGCAGTGCTCGCTTGGGCAGGCACCCGGGTTCTGCCCCGGTGCGGGAGACGTGCAGTGCAGTTAGTGCCGCCCGGAAGGGCAGGCAGGGCAGGCGTGGCGGCACAGGGCTGAGGACAGGGTCACCTGGGAGATTGTGGGTCCCCCTTGCCCTGAACAGCACAGAGCAGCGTCGCACCCACGCCGAGCGGGGGGCAGAGGCTGCAGAGTGTGAGCGAACAAGCAGCTCTCCTGGGTTCACAGCAGTAATGTGCTGGGGTCTCTCTGGGGCCACCGCGGGTTAGACCAGAGCGTGGCACCTCGTGCGGGGCTCCTCGAATGGGGTGGTCAGGCCGGTGTGCTTGGTCATAGCCCATGTGGCTGGCCTCGGGCTGTGGGCAGCCAGGGATGCTGAGGCTCGTCCTTCAGCTTTTGGGCTCTGACACGAAGGGGCAGAGGGAGCCCAGCCCACCTCTGGACGGCTGGTTTGCCCATCCCACTGTGTGCTGGGGGACAGGTGAGGCAGAGGAGGGGCTGCCTTCAGTGGTACTCAGGGCATCTTTGATTTAGCTGCTCTTCCCCTGAAGTGAGATCCATCCTCCTGCCTACCTTTTCACAAGCTCATCTCCAATGTCAGTTTAAATTTGGCCCAGAGTGTTGAACCTGATGTTGATACTCAGGAGAGGATGCATGAAGTTGTCACTGCAGAGCTGACTTACCTGCCAGGGGAAAGGGAAGCGTCGCAGCAAACTCCTTTCCCATCTTTGGGGTGGCCTTGCCTGCAGCGAGGCACAGGCAGCAGAGCCCAGGGTTCCCAGGGAAGGGGGTGGCTTGCATATGCCATTCATTGATCACATGCAAGAGATGTTGCAGCCAGGCTTGGTACACAGGGATAGTCCTGGGAGTTACCATCAAGGTGTGCTGATGTAAATGTTGATGTATGATGATGGAGAGCCAGGTTTCCAAGGAAACATGGGAGTTTGAGGCTCTCAGAGGCCAAGAGGTGGGAGATGGGAACAGCAGGTGACAGCCGTGTGCTGCCAATAATGGAGGAGCACTGATCTTGGGGTGCTGGTGATGGGCTGGAAGACAGATTGACGCATTTCACCAGGAGTAGTGAGGTTCTTAATGAGCCTCATCAAGCAATTCTGGGGCCACAGAGGTTGCTGCAGTCCTTGCTTTGCCATGCTGAAGGCTGGTTGTGCCTGCTGGAGCCTGTGCTGGGGGCAGGGTGCCTAGAAAGAGGGGGACTGGCAGAGAGGAGGTGTCCTGGAGCAGCAGGGAGGCTTCTCCCCTAGGGTGCCCTGTCCAAAGCTGCTAGCAAAGGTGCCTGGGGTGGCCTAAGTGAGAGGGTCTTTGGCAGGCTGCTTTGTGGGATACCTCCTGGAAAAGCCACTGACAGGGGTCATGTGGAAAGGAGAGTTAACAGCTGAAAAATTAAACCACTGCCCAAACTTTTGCCTGGGCAGAGAGAGGGAAGAGCGACAGCCGCAGCAAAGGGCCAGGCAGCTTCCATTTGGGCAGTGCAAAGTGGCAAGGCTGGGGAAAGGGCTGGTATAGTTGTGGTCTGAAGGGACTGGTGGGAGTTTTATCTGAGCAAGGTTTGGGGCTTGCTGCCTGGCAGGTCCTCAGCTGGGGTAGTTAAAATCTGTCTCACTGAAGTCTCTGCATGTGCTTGTAGCAGGGTTTTCTGGAGGAATCAGGAACATGGTCACATCTGTCTATCTGTCCAGCTCCCATCTTGGCCAGTGTTTCCTAATTTGCAGCAGGTTATGCCCCTCCAAGGTAGTAGGGTCTGTTGGGTTTCTGGGATCTGGGTGGGTGGGGTGAGGCAGGGCCCCCAAATGACATAGCTGCTGGGGTGGGTGCTGCTGTCTGGGCTGGTGTTGCGCCGCCTGTGCCCCTGCAGCCTGAGCTGCTGCACCGGAGCATCCCTGGCGTGGGATGAGATGCTGCTGGTGGCCGAGGTCCTGGGGGAGAGCAGGCAGGCACGCTCCTCTGCTCATGCCCAGGACATCGCTCCTGGGGTGCAGGGTCCCGAGAGGAATGAGTTTGCTTCCAAGGAAAATAAAGATTAAAGAGAATTAAACAAACCAGAGATGGGCCAGGGAAGGAAGACATGCAGAGCAGATGGTGAGAAGGGGGAAGGCAGAGAGACAAGCACAGAAGCCTGGGAGACCCTGGAGGAGAGAGGAAGGAAATGGCAGGAGGAGAGCGCAGGGAAAGGCAGTGTGGGGGAGGCAGACAGGGCGCAGCAGGGAAGCAGCACCCTGGGCCCTGGCATCGGCTCCTGTGTTTGCCCAGCCTCCTGCTGGGGCTTCCTTCTGCCCGATTCTCACAAGCATCTTTGTTCCCAGGAGCTCAGTTTGCTGCCGAGATCCAGGACAGGGAGGAAACCTCAGAGTTGTCTCAGTGCAGTGCCTGAGAGGAGGGAGAAGGGGCACCCACACCAGCTGCTCCCCTTCCAGCCCAGGTGGCACCCTGCTAGCCCCTGGGGCTGGGACTCCAAGCTTCCTTGGCCAAGGACTTGGGCCTTTTGCGGGGCGCAGGGCTCTGCTCCAGGGTGGGAGAAGGGAGACCCTCTGAGCAGCAGGCAAAGACTTCCAGCATGTCCCTGTTCCCTCCCGCAGACGGGATCCACAGCGTGACAGCCCAGTGCGTCCTGCGGGTGATCATCATCACGGAGGACATGCTGGCCAACAGCATCACGGTGCGCCTGGAGAACATGTGGCAGGAGCGCTTCCTCTCCCCGCTGCTGTCCACCTTCCTGGAAGGGGTGGCCACCGTGCTTGCGACTCCCAAGGAGGACGTCTTCATCTTCAACATCCAGAACGACACGGACGTGGGTGGCACGGTGCTCAACGTCAGCTTCTCGGCCCTGGCGCCGCGGGGCGGGCGCTACTTCAGCTCGGAGGAGCTGCAGGAGCAGCTGTACATGAAGCGCATGGCGCTGACGGGGGCCTCCATGCTGGAGGTGCTGCCCTTCGACGACAACGTCTGCCTGCGGGAGCCCTGCCAGAACTACATGAAGTGCATCTCTGTCCTCAAGTTCGACAGCTCGGCCCCCTTCATCGCCTCCCCCTCCACCCTCTTTCGGCCCATCCACCCCATCGCCGGCCTGCGGTGCCGCTGCCCGCAGGGCTTCACGGGGGACTACTGCGAAACGGAGATCAACCTCTGCTACTCCAACCCCTGCCTGAACGGTGGGATCTGCACCCGCAAGGAAGGGGGCTACACGTGCGTTTGCCGCCAGCACTTCAGCGGTGAGCGCCGCGGGGGGACGGGTGCGCGGGTCCCTTGGCGTCGCTGGCGCCACGGCAGGGTGCTCTTCTCTGCAGGGCAACGGGTGTCGGAGCTCTTGTTTGCCCACAGACGTCCAGCTCTGCTCCTGACTCTGTGTTTCCATGGCACTGGATCTGCAGGGCTGAGGTTGCCATAGAAATCTGTCTTGTAGGGAGGCGGCACAGAGAGCTCTTGGGGACCGTGGCCACCACCTCCCAGCCTTTTCACCAAGCGGGAGGACCAAGCTGGACTGTGCCAGCCTGGAGCCAGGCTCCTTAGCCCTGCCCCCTGCCAGTGGGGTGATGGGCTCTGGGACCATCAGAGGTTCTGTTTTCAGCCTGTGCCAGTCTTCATCTGATCTGGCAGAGGTGTGGAGCCCACACTGGCCCCATATGCAGTGGGTGAGCTGCTGCCCACCCAGAACAGAAGGGAAGGCTGGGCCTAGCGTCCCCACCAGGCAGGATCTGATTCAGGCAGATCTGGTCCTAGCTATGGGGGCAATTCCTGGGCCGGACAGTATTTTGTTGCCACAGGTCTCCAACAGGCTTCAGGCTCTGGAGATCCATGCCTGGCCACTGGCAACCTGGGGGTGAAGGAGGGTGGCCTGTGGCTACTGAGGGGGGAGTTCCTGCCTTCCCATCCTTGCTGAGAGGGAGCATGGCAGCAGATGGCTGCCTGGGAGCCACTCTCCTCTGTCAGTGGCTCCTGGTGAGATAAGCAGAGTCAGTGGTAATTAACCCCCAGCATTTGAAGCGTGAACAGCCATTAGCAGAAGGGTTAATGAGCTCATTTCCCTGTCACTTCATGCTGTCTCCTCATCCTCCTTGCATGCCACAGAGTAAGTAAGGGGAGCAGGACCTGGGGCATAGGACTGCAGCTGAGTGGGTAGAGGGGGCTGCCAGGCCAGGACACCTGCACCGTGCTGCTGAGCTGCCGTGGGGCATCCTCACTACTGATGCCAGTAAGGTGCAAGGGTATCTGGTGTCCCTCATCTGGCTAGTTTCCACTTGGCTTTTGCTCCTATGTTAGCACCCATGTACAGGGCTAGGAGACTCCTGGTGCCGTGGATGAGACTTTCATAACTATAGGGAGAGGAGCTCGGTGGTGCTGGGCTGTCCCCACCATGGAGCCCAGACCGTGATGCCTGACCCAGGCCTGTACGGTAGCAGTGCCCAGGGAGGCTCTCACAGCATGGACTTCCCTGGCTTGTCTTTGCCTGTATATCCTTACAGCTGTGCAGCCCAGCTGTGGCCAGTCCTCTGCTGTCCCATTCCCATGCCATCCTGGGTCCAAACTTGCCCAGAGGCCCAGGCTGCAGGTCTGGCAGTGCTACCTAGCTAGGTGGCTCCTGTGGGGAACACCAGGGTGACCCCGGGGTTGTCACATCCTTTGCCTGGCCCCAGCCGCCCCGTAAACTCCTGTCCCCGGGCAGTTCCGCCCCCAGCCCGTGCTGAGCTCTGCTCTCCCGGGGCAAGGCGTGGGTGGGTGGCAGCCG